GCCTTCAGTATAGATCAACATCTCTACACAACAAATTTCAGAACTATCACCTGCTGCAATCTTTCATAGCATCCCCAATTTGTGTTCGCATAAAGGTCATCGTGAGCACGGTGAAATAACAAATGTCGCTGTTTTGCAGCTTCTTGCGTGTCAAGTCACACCCTTGCTCCGGAGGAAAGAGAAAAGGTTATAGGGGGTATTTAGGCAAATTCCTGCTGTAGAAACTTTCAATTCGGAAATGTGGTATGTCATTCCAAAACAACATGAAAAAAGAAGAAGAAAAAGTCGCTCATGAGGGGCTCGAACCCATGAGCCGCAGAAAATAATGTCTCCACTCATGATCTGCACAGAAGGATGCTGAGAAGACCAGTTTGTGACACCCAATCGAGCTACCTTAAAAATCCTTCCTTATGCAAAGTTGTGTATGACCCACTGCCCCCCCCCCCCCCCACCCCACCCCCCCCCCTACCCCCGCCCTTCTACCTCATTACTTGTTTCTATTTCCCCCGTTCTTGTACAAAATTAGAAAATTTAAAAACATTCTGAAGAACTGCGTCTATTTAAGTATATAAAAATAAGACCTCACGTCTGTGTGCAGGGTACAAGTTGGTCAATTGGTCTACTGTCCATGCGTGTCCTACGTCATAGTAAATGACTTCTATTCCCAACAATTCATCCTACACTACCCGACATAGTGCACCAGGTGTAAGAATAAATGCAAAAATAAATAAAATTCCGCCCGCGTTCCTGACCAGCCACCCACTGTTTTTGCATCAGGATGGAATTTTCCCGAAAATTACGGACGACCCTGGCATAACTGGAAAATACTTCTCTTCAGTTTACTAGTATATGAATATCTCTAAAGTTTAAGTTTATGACAGGATTTATGCCATTAGATACTGAACATAAATTCATAATTTAGTACAGTAAACAAAATAACATGCAAACTGGAACAGTAGCACAGTCCCTTAAAGTACTGCTGGTAGAGCTGCCCTTGAAAAGAGTTGTTCATCAGGATCTTATAAAATACAGCAATACCAACTTGCATTGAGACAAGGGCAATGTGTTGTGTTCATTTTGTTTGCAGCGCTGGAACAGTGGGAAGACTTTCTACAAGCCTTAGCAAGTGGAAAAAGCTGACGGCCAGTTCCAGTCATTGTTAGCATTCCTGTAGTGTTACACCACGCATACACATGCATGCACATGTCAACACACCTATATACAATTATTATGCATGACTGTAAGAGGTAATAATCAGTATGCATTTCACACGATGTTTTTTGATTTTTCATTGCTATTGGAGTGAGCATTCTGACAACACATAGTGCCTATCGTAAATGCATTTCCACTAATATCTGCGAAGGTGTTTTTTCGCTGTGCACTGTTACATTTTGCCTCCAAGTTTATTTGTTATCACAAATCTATACTGTCGTTGATAAAGGTTGCTGCACCCAGCTAGACCAGTTGGTTTTCCATTGACCGAAGAGAGCATTCTTACAACACATAGTGCCTATCGTAGATGTATTTCCCCTGAAATCTGTGAAGAAGTATATCCTCTGTGCACTGTTACATTTTGCCTCCAAGTACGTTAGTTTGTCATGAGAGGAATCTGTACTTTTGTTGATAAAATAATGTCACTGCACTCAGCTAGAACAGTTGATTTCTAATAATTGATATCGGAGTGAGCATTCTTGCAACACATACTAAGTAGTGCCTATAGTAGATGCATTTCCACTGATATCTGTGAAGGAGTATTTTCGCCATGCATTATTGCATTTTACCTCCAATTAATTTGTAGTCACAAATCTGTACTTTCGTTGATTAATGTCGCTGCACTCAGCTTGAACGCAGTTGGTTGTCCATTGATCGGAGAGAGCATTCTTACAGCACATAGTGCCTATCGTAGATGTATTTCCACTGAAATCTGTGAAGAAGTATATCCTCTGTGCGCTGTTACATTTTGCCCCCGAGTATGCTAGTTTGTCATCAGGAATCTGTACTTTTGTTGATAAAATAATGTCGCTGCATTCAGCTAGAACAGTTGATTTCTAATTGTTATTGGAGTGAGCATTCTTACAACACGTAGTGCCTATCGTAGATTACATTTTGCGTCCAAGTATGTTATTTTGTAGTCACAAATCTGTACTTTCGTTGATTAATGTCGCTGCGCTCAGCTAGAACGCAGTTGGTTGTCCATTGATCGGAGAGAGCATTCTTACAGCACATAGTGCCTATCATAGATGTATTTCCACTGAAATCTGTGAAGAAGTATATCCTCTGTGCGCTGTTACATCTTACCTCCGAGTATGCTAGTTTGTCATCAGGAATCTGTACTTTTGTTGATAAAATAATGTCACTGCATGCAGCTAGAACAGTTGATTTCTAATTGATATTGGAGTGAGCATTCTTACAACACGTAGTGGCTATCGTAGATGCAATTCCACTGGTATCTGTGAAGCAGTAAATTCTCTTTGTACTTGTACATTTAGCCTCCAAGTCTGTTAGTTAGCAATCAAAATCAGTTACTTCAAGATTTAGGAGAGCGGTTGTGTTGTGGTTTAGGGCCGGGTTCCACTGCGGCTCCACTGCTCCGCTGCTCGTCTTTCGCGGCTTGAAACGTCATCATTACCATAGTGACTGCGGCTCGAGCTGGAGCAGCGAGTCCGCGGCTCACCGCGAGCTTTTGCTACGATTCTTGACCAAAAACTGCGAGCCGCGGTCGCGGCTCGACCTGTTTCCCGTACTTTGCATTGTTTCGTACGCCAGAATTTTAAAATTCAAATTTTAATTCATTGCGCAGGCCAGAACACGAGAATTTTTTTGATTTCGCGCGCGTGCACGCGCGCGCAGGCAGGTGAAACGTCATCAAAAAGTGTAGACTACGTCTGCGGTAGAGAAGAAGAAGTAGATCTGTTTTCTAATCCGTTTCACGAAGGTTTGTGTGGTAAGTGCTGTTTTCCACGAAGTATCAAGTGCTGGCGATAGTTGTTCAGTCTCTAGCTAAAGCGGGATTCACAGAAGCTTTTTTGCGATGCGACACGCGATGCGACAGACGCGAAACCGGGAAAACCCCAAATCGCAGCCATGTCGCACCCCACGCAACTGCCGCAACTGGGCCATCGCAGGTCATCGCAGAAGTTGAGCTTGGCTCAACTTTTGCGATGCGACAAGCGATTTGGCGTACGATTTTGACCTTTTCTACAGCAAAGTTGTACAAAGGTTCAAAAGTTGCCTATAAATTTGTACAAGTTGTATCAAACCGCGCGAATATCATGGTGACGTAGTCAAATCAGCAAGATGTTGTCGCATCACTGACTTCTACTGTGAATGGTATTTCGCGAGTTCGCATCGCACGCGTCGCATCGCAAAAAAGCTTCTGTGAATCCCGCTTAAGGCTGTGTTTACATGAGGAATTTCAACCCGGGTCGAGTTCAGCCCGGTTTGAAAGTCTGTACTATAGACAAAAGAGGTGAGCGTTTACATGAAGACAGTTGACCCGGATCAAATACTGATATGCCGCCAAAAGTCCACTTCTAGAATCCTGTATGGTTACGCAGTCCGTGCGCCCAATTCAAAAAAGTCGTCTAGAAGTTGCACTTTTATTTGCAACCGCGGGAAATTTGAGAGGTCTGGAGAAGAAAATTCTCAATGGGACTCAAAATTGACAAACAAGACGACGACCAGCGCTCGAGCATAGTACCTTTTCGCCATTCCTTCGTGCATGATACCCATTCTAATTGATAAACATTACCCTCATGTTTCGTTTCATGCGCAACGGACGAAGCGAAGTGTCTTTTTTCGTCCACGAAAGAAAGGTAAGGAAATTGTCGTCTTCGCGACACCCTTCGGATTATTTAGTGGGGCATTGTGGGCCAAGGGTATTTTTTCTTTACAACTGTCCCCAGGTACTGAGACGGCGCTGATATCCTAGAAGTTCTGTTGGTGCAAAATGCCAGGTTACTGACTTATGGCGAGGTTTGTCCACCCAAAAATATGGGAGATTTCTTCGATAACGTACACACATAATACAGTAAATGGTATTGCAGTGGGCATCCAAAACGGTTGAACCAAACAAATATGGTATGATACCTAGAGGCTAGGCACACAAAAATCACTCAGGAATTGGACGCAAGTCCCGGGGCCTTGGTGCGTCATTACACCCGGACATTGAATGTTTGCCGGCGCACGGCTTTTGCTTCACCACTTCACACAAGTTTACGCACTCACTCAATTCGAAAGACTGGAACGAGACCAAACCGAATGTGACAACTAAGAGAGAGTTGTGCATTCGTTGGAACAACGTTCGGGCATTGCGAGAAGGATATCAGCAGGGTCCAACAATGGCAGCAACAGCACCAGGCGATGATGGAGTACCAAGGAGCTTGTATCATGCACATTACAGTGAGCAACAAGAGAAACCGTACTGTGGTACGTGAGATCAGAGCCTGGGCAGGATGATCGACACTGTACACTGTGCTACAGCGCCTCAATTGTGCGAGAGAAACAAACAGACCAGCAAGCACAGATCATGAACTGGTACACAACATTGACAAAGCACAAACCGCATAGCAAAGTTACACGGCATAGCCGAGCGTTTTGTTGCCAATGAATTGTTTGAGAAGGGAGCAGTATTCCTTGTAACATTGCATGGAGTATACGAGAACGCAGAGTCAGAACCAGGCGCAACAAGGCAAGACGGCTACTGTACAGGGGACAGGCTTGACGATCACTTGCATACTCGCAATTTTGGTACCAGGGAATTAGGCATCATGTCATACCGAAGTGGCTTCGACACGCTACATTGCATTCATAGCTGTACTGTGAACCTGTTACACGAGCTTCTGTGAAACAGACAGCATGCCAATGACCTGCAAGCACCAACAAACGCAGCCGGTAAAACAAACGCTACATAACTGCCCAACATAAACTTGTACATGCTGATGAGAAGCAAGAATGTGCTTGATGTTGGAAGTTATGCTCGCATATTCAAAAACATGCATGGAAAAACATCAATGACATTGTTCACGAATACAACAGATACATCATACAGGGAGAGTAAGTAATCCTTCCTCCGTTTTGTATACGCGCACGCGCGCGCGTGGTAGATAAATCGGTTCGGCATGACTTTCGATCGAGGTTGCGTTCACCGTAGGGATAGGTGAACTCGAAGCCAACACCTCTCACTTTCGCTCTACTGCCCCTTTGGGGCCGATGCGATCCTTGTGCCAAGTTGTGGTAGTGGCTCAACAGAACAGGACAGGTGTGTGTGTGTGTGTGTGTGTGTGTGTGTGTGTGTGCACGCGTGTGTGCGTGTGTGTATGTGTAAGTGTGGTTTCTGAACTTTTCTCACAATCGTATAAGTTTCATTTTTTCGTGAAAACCCAGCTACACTGAGACCGGTACAATCGCATGTCGTTTATCTGGCGGTCAGTCACATGGCATGTCGGGTATCCAACAGCATCGCACTGACAGCTTATAGACCTTATATTTAAAACAGAGAGGTTCCAGGCTGTCCAAGAGAGTGCTCAATACCGAGTGGTAGAGCTGGTTCAAACAATAGGAGAACAGAGGAAGTGTTTTTACTCAGAGTTTCACGCACTAAGCGATCATCAGAAAACAGTAATTGGAAATCTGGATCAGTATTGGTTTATATCCTCACAAAGCAAAGTGTAAATAGCGGCAGTGCAAAGCGTGAATGACAGCAAGTGGTGAAAGGTGACAACCACTGGAGCTGGTTGTCTCTTACTCAATTAGGTGATGGCTGTAGCTGGTTTAAAGACCCAGCTACAGCCATCACCTAATTGAGTAAGAGACAACCAGCTCCAGTGGTTGTCACCTTTCACCACTTGCTGTCATTCACGCTTTGCACTGCCGCTATTTACACTTTGCTTTGTGAGGATATAAACCAATACTGATCCAGATTTCCAATTACTGTTTTCTGATGATCGCTTAGTGCGTGAAACTCTGAGTAAAAACACTTCCTCTGTTCTCCTATTGTTTGAACCAGCTCTACCACTCGGTATTGAGCACTCTCTTGGACAGCCTGGAACCTCTCTGTTTTACAGGTCGCTCCCCTGTTCCCAGGGTTGAGCACTCTCCCTGGCTGTTCAAACTCGAGGATGGACAACCCAAGACCGCTACATCTGGATTACTCACTGAAGAACATTCCCATCCCTTCAGAAGACGCCTACACTACGAGGCTGATCGAGAAGGTTGAAAGCGTGTTGAAGCGGATGCGGTGGAAGGCGTTTTTCTACCTGAAAGGACCGACAACCGACGATCCAAAAGAAACCTATGGCCTCAAATCCCGGAAATGTCCGCCCCAAGTCGACGAACTGAAGGCGTTCGAGGACGATGCGTTAAAAATGATTGAGATGATTGAGTTTCGTAGAGTCGCTGATCCCTTTCAGCAACGACTCCGAAGCGACATCCAGAAAATCAGAGCATCACCGGACATCATCGTGCCAGCTGACAAGACCAGAAACCTCTACGAAGTCAACAAAGAGCAGTACACAAAACTGCTGAGCAACAACATCACCAAGCATTACAAACCTACACCGGCAGAGACTTACGACCAGATCAACTCGGAAGCTCAGACAATTGCTGCGACGCTGGAGCTGGACGACAGAATGGATGCAATGGCGAAGAAGGACGCATACATCACGCTGAAGGACCATAAAGACAACTTTTCCCGGTCCCTGCCATGCCGGCTCATTAATCCCTCAAAGAGTGAAATCGGCATAGTCTCGAAGTCTATACTGGATACCGCTCTAAAACAACTCCGTCCCCAGCTGCAGATTAATGCATGGAGGAACACGGCAGCGGTGATAGAGTGGTTCTCAAGAATACCAGAGAAAGAAAACTGCATATTCGTGTGCTTTGACATCGTAGATTTCTACCCCTCAATCTCCGAAGACCTCCTCCAGAGATCCGTCGAATTCGCCCGCCGCTACACGGACATCTCCCAGGAGGAGGGTGACATAATATTCCACGCCAGGCGATCTCTGCTGTTCGGCTTGGAGAGGCACTGGGTGAAGAGACACAACGAGCACTTTGACGTCACAATGGGGTGCTATGATGGGGCTGAGGTGTGTGAGCTTGTTGGAGCCTTCGCCCTCGCCATGATAGCGGACGTGTTCAACGGCCGAGACGTCGGGTTGTATCGCGACGACGGCCTGGCTGTGTTCAGGAATGCATCAGGACATGAAGCTGACCGAATAAGAAAGGGGATGAACAAAATATTCCAGAACCTCGGACTGAAGATAACGATACAGACAAACCTGAAGAGAGTCGACTTTCTGGACGTGACATTGGACCTGACCACCGGAAAGTACTGCCCTTACCGGAAACCGAACGACAAGCCGATGTACATCAACTGCCAGTCAAACCATCCACCTACAATCATCCAGAACCTACCTGCATCGATCAGCAGAAGACTAACAGATATTTCCAATGATGAAGACGTCTTCATAGATGCGACTCCGATCTACAGTGACGCGC